TCTTGACCTCGTGATCCACCCGCCTCAGCCTCCCAAAGTGCTGGGATGACAGGCTTGAGCCACCGCGCCCGGCCTGATGTAGTTTATTTCTAAGTTCAAATTGATGTTGGTGCCTGAGAGCGGATGGAGAAAACGAACATTTCCTCCTTTTTCTTGACAGACGGCTTACTAGGTAAGCGTGTCCTCGATTATTTAAATCAGGGCTCCCCAGTCCCTAGGCCACAGATTGTTACTAGCCCATGGCCTGTTAGGAACCAGGCTGCACAGCAGGCGGTGAGCAGCAGGCCAGGGAGCCTGACTGTGTGAGCTCCGCGCCGGCATTAGATTCTCCTGGGAGCACAAACCCCATTGTGAACTGCGCATGCGAGGCATCTGGGTTGTGTGCTGCTTATGCGAGTCTAATGCTGATGATCTGAGGTGGGACCGTTTCATCCCCAACCATCCCCATCCCCACACTTGTCCCTGGGAAAAGTGTCTTCCATGAAACCAGTCCCTGGTGCCAAAAAGGTTAGGGACCGCTGGTTTAAGTAACCGACTACTAAAGGAACTGAAGTAGAAGTAAATGGGCTGCTGCTTTATTTTTAGGCTGTTCTTTTTATAGAACAATGACAGGTACTTCCAAGTTTGTCATTAGAAAATAATTTTAGGTTGGTGCAAAAGTAATTGCGGTTTTTGCCGTTACTTTCAATGGTAAAAGCCACAATTACTTTTGCACCAACTTAATATTATAAATTTGTTTCTTAAAGTGTGTTTTTGGTAAGGAAAACCTTAATAATATTTTCTTATTTTTTTGAGCTGTAGTCTTGCTCTGTCGCCCAGGCTGGAGTGCAATGTTGTTATCTCGGCTCATTGCAATCTCCGCCTCCTGGGTTCAAGCAATTCTCCTGTCTCAGCCTCCTGAGTAGCTGAGATTACAGGCGTGTGCCACCACGCCCAGCTAATTTTTCATATTTTTTTTTTTAGTAGAGACCATATTGGTCAGGCTAGTCTCGAACTCCTGACCTCGTGATCTGCCCGTCTAGGCCTCCCAAAGTGCTGGGATTACAGGCGTGAGCCACCGTGCCTGGCCCAAGAAAAACCTTTTTTTCTTCTATCAATTTTTTTTTTCTTGGTAGAGACAGAGTCTTGCCATGCTGCCCAGGCTGGAGAGCAGTGCTGTGATCTCGGCTCACTGCAGCGTCCACCTTCTGGGCTCCAGCAGTCCTCCCACCTCAGCCTCCCAAGGAGCTGAGACTACAGGCGTGAGCCACCATGCCTGACTAATTTTTATATGTTTTGTAGAGATGAGGTTTCACCATCTTGCCCAGGCTGGTCTTAAACTCCTAGGCTCAAGCAGTCCTCCTTCAGCCTCCCAAAGTTTTGGGATTATAGGTGTGAGCCACTGCCAGAAAACCTTTTCCTAAGACAGGTCAGGTTTTACATTATACATAGCTCTTTTTGTGTGTTTTGAATAATGTCTTTTTTGGCAGTGCACAGCTGAGAACCCCACACCACAGAAGACAGGAAAGTTGTGCTGCGCCCATGTGATGGGCACTCGTCAGCACTGGGAAGGAATGCACTGTTGGCACACACAGCAGCTTGGATCAATCTGAAAGTCACTACACTGAGTTAGAGAAGCCAAATAAAAGCGCGGGCTGTGTGAGTCCACGTGCAGAGCGTGTAGAGATGCTTCCTGCCTGCATAATGGAAAGCAGATCATGGTTCCCTGCAGACTGGCGGGAGCAGATTCCAAAGGCATGGGAAGAAGCTTGCGGGTAGAATGTGTTCAATCCCTTCTGCACATTACACCATAAAAAGAGCTGATAGTAAAAATGCTAACCAAAGGAGAAAGGCCAAACCAGGATAAAATGTGTCAGCTGTGTGACTGGTAAACAGGCAGGTTTGCTGCCATGCTTCGTTTATGAAGCTGTGGGGTCCAAGGACTCACGTGACTGTGGAGTGCCGAATGCTGCAGCCTCATGGAAGAGGATTTGGCAGCGTCTAACAAAACTGCATGGCATTTGCCCTTTGACTTAGCAATTCTAGGAATCTGTCTCCAAAACACTCTGGCAGAGAAATGAAAGTTCTCTTCACAGCCCGAGTGTGTTTGTAACAAAGTTCTTCACCGTGGCATTTGTAATACTGGAAACAATACAAACGTCCATCAGTCGGGGATTAGGAACATTAATTCCCACAGTGAGTAACTCAGTACAGGAAGAAGGAATGAGGAAGGCCTACTGATGAGGGGCAGAGTACATGTGAGATAATGCAGATAGACATTTGCGTTCTC